ACGGCCCCAGCTGCCGAAAAAACGAGACCCGCTCCTCCCGGTCATTGGGCGTATAAACCGCAACGACTCGGAACGAACCACTTTTCACGGCAATATCGGCCACGATCAACCGGCCCTCGGCATCGGTATGCACAAGGTCCACCTTCGCATCAAGAGTCCGTCTGACAAGCAAAGAAACTCCTCTGGCAAACCGGTCCCCATATGCTGAATAGACAACAAAGTCATCCTCCAGCACACACGCATCGGCAAACAAACAAAGTGTGTCTCTTCGATCGCGGCGACATCCACATCCAGGGACCCGAAGGTCCCGGAGCAGGCGGGCTGCCTTTACCCCGATCCCTTAAGCCCCTCACATTCAGCATCGCTAACTTGGTTTCCATTTTTTAGGCCTGCAAAAAAGGAGAAGAATAAGCGCAAAAAACCTATTCACATACGGGCCGGAAATCTGAGGGTGAAAGGACTCCGACGGATTGTCCCAGGCTCCCCACTCCTAACTCCGACGTCATCCGTCCTTCTGTGACAATCCCGCCGACGTCCGTGGGGTAGTTTAATTTTAGGGCCCTATATAGTGATGGATGGAGAGGTACTGGGGCCCTCCCTGCACAAAATATTTGCATCTTCTTTAAGTCCTTTGAGGCCATCTCGACCATCCTTATTTCCGGGAAGGCCTCCCTGGCCTCAAAGAGATGAGCCCAGACTTTCAAATTTTTTCCGGTGTCCCGGATAAGTCCAACCACACCAGGGGCACCAGGAAAGTTTCTAGGGTCCTCAATTGATTTGCCGTCTACAGATGACAGCTTAATTAGAGGCCTTAACAACGCTCTCTTGCGGGAGGAGAGGTCTTTCTCAATCTCCTCCTTCTCTACTCTGCAAACATCTTCGACTTTTCCGAAGATCCTTTTTTTTTCTTCTTCCCCCTATCTGGGGGCGGTGGGGTGGGAGTGGATGAAGGGGTTGGTGTAGAGAGGGATGGTTGGGGAGTTGGAGGGTCTGATGCAGTAGGAATAGGTGTGTGCGGCGGTGTGGGGGTGGTAGCAGGGAGTGGCAATCGAGACCAGGAAGGAGGGAGACTCCTATCTACTGGAATGTTTGTCTTTTTCACTGGTGAAGAGGGGACGGATGCACACCTGTTTTTTCCCCTACCCCTCTCTTCACTAATGTGTCCAATTAATTTGTGAATAAGTTTCACTTGCTGTTCTTCTTCTTCCTCCTCTTCAAGGAGGCGGCCCGTTGGGGAGGCACTTCCTCCACCTCCATGGCACTATCTCGTTTCTCTGGCGTTTTTGCCGGACTTTTAGCCGGACTTTGCTGCTGTTTCTGTTGTTGTTGTTTCTGTCGTTGTAGTTGCTGCTGCTGTTGTTGTTGCTGCTGCTGTTGTTGCTGCTGCTGTTTTTGTTTCAGCTGCCCCTTTGAAGGCTGAACTTCTTTTGGCCTCTTTTCGGGCTGTTTCTTTGGGGACGTTGGAGCTGGAGTATTTTTGTGTCCCTTCTCCACCTCTTTCCAGCCTTCTTCGGGAGGTTTGTCAATTGTTGACTTTGCACTCACTGCTGCTGTTGTTGCTGATGCTGGGGGAGGGGGTGTTGGTTTCACCTTTTTGCCAGGGCAATCCTTGGACATGTGCCCCGACGCACCGCACGCCCAACAGCACGGCTTCCTCCCCTCAACCACAACCAGCATCCTCCTCTTTCTGCACACTAGGGTGTTGGGAATTTCCTGAAAGTTCTTCCTGTTAAGCGTTACCTGGACCTCTATGCCCCCCCCGTCTGTATGCCATTTTTTACTGACGAGGGGCCTTCACCTCGTTTACTTCGCCATATTTGGCGAAAAAAGGCCCCATCCTGTCCTCGCCAATATCCGCCGGGACGCCATGGATTGTCACCTTGGTCCTACGCGTTCCCATATATTCTGTCTGCAAACGCAGACTTTTTTTTTGTGAGACAGACTTCCAGCCAAAGCTTTAGCCTGTTCCTCTGTTGCTAAGAGTAAATCCCAGAGCGCATTCGTTCTTCGCGCCAGAATTTTGGGAAAGATCTTCAGAGCCTTCAAGGCCTCCTCCATTACTTCTCTGTCGACACCAATTAACTTGCGGGTCTTTACATCCGATGTTAGAAATGAAATTGTTCTGGTGTCGACAGCATCCAAGGCCTCTTGAATTGTCAGGAATTCATTGCCTTTAAATGAATCTTTTTCTCTGCTCACCGTAAAAGGCTGCATCTTTTTGTGGCGGCCTGTTTTTAGCCCAGGCCGTCTTTGAGGGTGACACCGGTTGTGAAGGCGGTGTATTGCCTTCATCGTTATTCTTGTCGGCCATGATGGGGTTTTCCGGCCCACCACGCCGAACAATTCTGCTTTTGTCACTTCTTTTGACGTTTTTGTTTCTTACATGCGTAAAAAATTAAAAATTACCAAGAAGAAATAAACTCAAACGGTAATAAACAACTCAATAGAAAGGAAGAAAAATGGACAACCAAAACAAGGAAAAATCAAAAAAGGTTGAAAAAAAAGGGGCAAAATAATTCAAAAAACAAAATAAAATTCAAATAAAATAAAGAGAATAAAAAATAAAGCGAATCAAAAATTAGACAAAGGCAAAACCAGAAAAACTGAAAGTCAAACAAAAGTTGCAAAAAATTTCAACTAGAAAGCTTATCTTTTCGATGCACTGGAAATACTGAGAGAGACTCCTCTATACCGTATGTAACTAGTGGAAGAATGCTATTACTAGTCTACCTGACAAACGGAAATGTATAGCTTTTATAGTTGGATTATCAAGGGGGAGATAATCCATATTCACAACACAACTTTTGGGGTTAGTTGCACTGTTGATTGTACCGATGATGAATTTATGTTCAGGGATTCTTCAGTGGTATCTTCGTGTGAACTGATAATCGAAAGAAAATTATTCATGGAGTGATTAGGTTGTTGTTTGCATTAATAGTTGTAGTTCGTGGGTCACTGTTATTATGGTCGAAATCACGACGGGCGGCACCACTTGTTGGGTGGGGGTGCTTCCTTTATTTCTCAAAAAGCCACTGTCAGTTCTTCTTTTTATACAGTCCATGTAGATAAAAAAGAAAAAAAAATAGAACGCTGGATTCGAGTGGGAACTCGTCAGATTTGTTGAAAACCGGAAGTGGATGCGTGGAGCCACCGACGCAGAGACGCATTTTGTCATTTGACACTTCCGCCGCCGAGCTGTTTACTTCGGAATCCAGAAAATGTCGGAGGTTCGACAAGAATTAGAAATGAACATCACTATTTACAGGATTTCTAAGAAACTGAAAGATCGAAGCAACGTCTGATCATGAAAAATATAAAATCCAACGAGCTGTAGAACTAGGAACATAACCTAAGCACTGAAAATATTTGCGGGGGCCAGATAGTAATTGAATTAATAAATATAAGCATAATCAGCATTTATGTGCTGCTTCCTTTTAGGATGTAGTTGATCATGGTTCTCCACTACTTCCTGATGTTCTGTGTTTTGATTTTTATCATCCCTCCTTGTCTCTCTTTTAAAATGCTCTGTGAGTGTTAGATTCGCTAGGTCCTCCTTCCTCATTATTTGTTGAATAATGATATATATACATATATATATATATATATATTTTTGAAACATATATATATATTCGCAGGTGAAAATTGTATGATATATATATATATAAAATATTTTAGGGGAAAGAAGTATGACAGAGTAGTAAATGTTTTTTTGTGTGACGCCTTTTATCATTTGCGATCCTGAAGACCAAATGACGTCACACGAAAAATTCTTTCTACTTTGTCATACATCTTTTCCCTCGTTATACGTCATGACAATGAGCGAATAAAAATGGTGGCAATGCTAGTTGTGGAAGCTATTTCATCTCGAAACTCCAAGACATTTAGGAAAGCAAACATAGTTCGAAACATTATGATCAAAACAACAAATATAAGGATATTAATCCAAATAATTTATAAATTGCTAGATGTAATCATAATTCCTATGTTTATAGCTTCTTCTCTGGCACGTCTCGCTTGTGGAACTCTCATCTGGCTTCTTGCTTTCCTGCTAACTACAATCAGAAATAAATATAAATGCAGTGTCAATCGTCATTTTCTGTCATTTTGAAACATTTTTCTTTTATTGCCTAAACTTCATAATAATTTCTCATTTTCTTTCACTCTCACTAACTCCTTGCGTTTTAGTGGTTTTATCGTTTTCGTTGGGGGGGGGTGAAATGATTAAAAAAATTTGTATTTTTTAAAGTTTAAGAAATCTGAAAATTCTTCAGACAGAACTCTGCAAGCTTCTCAATGCTCTATCGCTAGTTTCATAGAAAGTTCTCAGACGAACCATATTCTTTACTTGCACCATATCTAACCTTCACGGCTAAGATCCGTCATGGCACGTCCCTTGTAGCGAACACACCCACATTCCCTTCCATCTGTGAAATATAAGTTCCACTTGAACAGCTTCTAACCGCGAACCGCTCATCTGTGGAATCGACTCCCAAGAGTGTGTTTTCCCGATCACTATAATCGTCAATCTGTTCATGTCTAGAAATTGCCATTGTCTTCGCCAAGCATAAACATGTGAAATGTTAGTCACTAATTAAATCTTAACCTCTTCAAGTCTAAAGTTAGCGGTAATCTTACCTGAATAACTCCAAGAACTTTATTGTTTTCTCTTTCTTACGCTAATACAACACCAGAGATTAACCATCTAGCTTGTGTGGCTCATGGTCCTTGTATTAAAAAATAAGAAAAAACAAAAACACTTTAGGTTTTCAAAGTCCGTTCTTCTGAAACCTCAATCCTTGTAATTCATGCTTTTACCACTGCGCTCTTTCGATAGAATATTGACGTCTCTGGCCACATTAGTTGCCATCTGTGACTGCTGCTGCTGCTGAGACTATCGCTGATAGCAGATAACGATTAAATATTGATTTGCATTGCAAAGCTCGACAGTAACGGGATGAGGAACGGGCAGAAATATGTTGCAGGTTATTTCGGAATGGAAGATGGAAGGGTCGCAATGTGGTAATGGGTTTGTTATTAGGTCTGTTCTCTTCCACCCGACCGATTTTCTCTTGATTAGCTCATTCTTGACCTTTCTACGCCCGCTCCAAAGATTAACCTCTTCTATTCGTATTTTTCTTTCTATTTCCTCGACCCGCCTCTTCTCTCGTTATCGACACCGTTGTCTCCAAACCACCAGACTGACATAGGGCGGTGGTAGGCCGGGCTAATGATAGCGATTCCATCACTAATAATGGCCGCTTCATTAAACCCCCCACCTCACTTTCGCAAATGATCTTCCATTTCTTTCGATAATTTTTCCCAGGTCGCTATCTTCGTTCTCTTTCTCTTTCCCTGCCCATTTTGTTGTCACTTTATTTATTATCCTTTGCATAATCTGACCCAAGATCCGGTAGGAATACAAAATAAATTTGCATATAAAGTCCCAGGTCTCAACTCCGCACGAGTGGGAAAATAAAACCAGCCACCTTCAATTCTAGAACAGCAGGCAAACTAGACACACTACTTTTTCCTTATCTCAAACGGCTCGAGAGATAACAGCTCCATATGACTCTTTTTGGAAAAAAACTGCTATTCTGTCAGGAGGCTTTTTCTTTCCTTTTCTATATTTCATCGTAAATATTTTCCCAATGTGTGACAATTTACTTGGCTACATAGATAACTTTTTTTTAACTAAACTTCACTCAGTACAAGACTCGAGAGTCACTCAAGGTAGAGAGATATTGAATTAACTTTGTGCTATGAGTCTAAGAATAAGCAATAGGAAGTGAATATTATGAGGATAAGTAGGATAGATAACGATAGACATTTGAATAAGTTAAGATTGGAGTTTTCAGGGAAGTGTCCACGCCACGCGAGAGTCTACTATTAAAGTAGTGTTTTAATCGGTTCATCCCAAGCAAGGCGATAATGCCACTAAGATAGAAGGGACTACTGGGAGTGAAAGAGATTGAGATTTTAGAAGAACTTGAAACCCAATCCTAAACAGGAAACAAGGGATAAACCTCTACTCCTTTTCAAAAGACGGTGTAGAGTATGAATCGGAAATAGGTGAATCTATCTATTCCTACTGAGGAAAATAAATAATAAATAATAAATGAAATTATTAATACTACAAATATGTGTAAAGCAACTGAAATTAAGATGAAATAAATACTGTCTATATCTTGATATGAGATATTATAGTTAATTACATTATTTGGACTGTTATCCTCATCTTCACCGCCATATTCACAGCGTTTCGCCATTCTACTGTTCGGCCTTCTTCAGGCGATTGGAATTTCGAACCGAACTCTTTATTTCGTCCACCGGGGTAGATTGTTCTAGTTCCACGTGCCATGCCTCTTCCTGATGTCTCAGTTATTTCCCTTTAACTCAACTCTCCAAGTTTGGTTCACCACTGCCGAAGCCTGGTATTGAACTCACAAGTCTTTGGGTTTAATCACTGGATCAAACAAACGTCTTTATCCAGTGGGCCATGTGTCCTAAAGAAGGCCGGAGCCTACAACGGCCGAAACGTTGTGAATATGGCAATGAAGATGAGGATAACAGTCCGAGTAATGTAAATAATGTAAGTAAAAGAAATACTATCCAAAAATGAATAATGACTAAGAAGGCTTCATTAGTAATAATAATATTTTGAATTATTTTTTATATATATAAAAAATAATTCAAAATATTATTATTACAAATGTAAATAAAATTTAAAATTTAAGATGAAAGAAATATTAAGGCAAAAGCTAATAACAATTGACAATGCTTCATTAATAATGGTGGGTTGGTGTATAATTATCAGGCGTTTTTTAAATAAAATTTATTATGAAAAAGAAACATAAAAAATCAACAATAACATTTTTAAATGATTATTCCGGAACGTATGATTATCGACACGCATTTTTATAAGCTGAAAATAAAATAAGATTTTTATTAAAAAAAGTAAACAAAATAGCATTTTTTATTAACAAATAACTCGTTTACAAAAACGCCTGATAATTATGCACCAACCCTATAGTAAAAATAAAGTTATTTCCCTTTTTCTCTCTTTTTTTCGAAAATGTCTTGAGATATTTACATAATTGCTGAATGATCCATGAAATCAAAACTCATCAATTCTTATTTGATATTTCTGAGGAAAAAAAATTGTCCCAGTGGAATTTTGCTTTAAAATTAAAATACAGAGGGTAACTCCTGACTAGAAAAGTCTGAAAAGAAGTGTGTTTATCTAAGCAATTAATGGCAATAATTTCGGGACAAATTTCATATTTTAAATGAAGCAATTATTTCGAGGGAAACTTTAAATGTAGCCATTATAACAGGTCAGAGGTAATAACAAAACAGTTCTATAAAAAATTACCCTATGATATATTTTAAATTTATCATAACATTCTCAAGGTTCCAAAAATCATATGAATTTTTGTCGATCTTTTACGTCCCTTAAGGACGTTAACGATTACGGATTTCCGCAAATTCCTGTTCTTTGTAACTCTTAGTAAATTTTCTCTCCTAATCACTGTTCTATCAGCGATTTATACAAGGTAGATTATACGCTGTTTTCACTCGTCTTTGTTGCCTTCAATATGCCCTGTAAGTGTTAAATTTTCTAAGCCCTCTTTTTTCATAATGCGTCCAAGAAATTTCACCTAGCTCTTTCTGATGTTAAGTGTAAGTGTCCCTTCGGTTTTTCATTTTCTCTAGAACTTCGTCGTTGCTCACCTGTTCAGTCCATGGTATTCTCAGCATCCTTCTGTAGAACCACATTCCTATCGTTTCAAGTTTCTATTTCATGTATGCGAAGATGGTCCAGCATTTAGTGCCATATAGGAAGACTGATATTACATAGTAGTTCAGTCTTTTCTATGTTTCTAACCAAATTTTCCTTATTCTTAATACTTTGTTTAGCTTTTGGAAGGCATCTTTTGCTATCCCAAAGTTCCTTCGGATTTCGGTGTTACACTTTCCGTCTTCTGTTAAAACACTTCCCGGATATCTAATATGTAATGAAGGCCAGGGTAGCTCGACGTGGTGTAATGGTTAGTAAGCTTGTCTCGCGAGAACAATTAAGACTGAGTTCGATTATCACTGGATGCCCCATACTTTCGGCCTTGTGCCACATCTGAGCTACGCTTGGAAAATCATTATCTAATGAAAGCCAATAAGACAAAACGTGTCACACGAGAAAAAGTTTCATTTAGTCATTAATTTTCCCAACTGATTGATATCTAGATTTGAAAATGGACTTTATTTTATTGTTTTTATAATTAAATTGCTTCGTTATTTAAACAAATCCAATTCTCTGGCTGAATTTTTAGGATTGGGAATTATCACTATTTATCATTCAGTCTAATATCCTTATTTTTCTTGTTATGATCATGTTTCGGACTTTGTACCATCCGGTTTTTGTCAGGTTTCTGTCGATTCTACTAAACTTTAGGGAATTTCGATCTAAACACTTCATTTAAGTTGCGGAGGTAGATTATTCTTTTTCCAGTCTAGCTAAGAAAGAACGCATAAAAGAAAGAAAGAAAGAAAGAAAGAAAGAAGACGGAGTGGTACAGAGCGAAAAAGAAAGAATGAGTCAGATCAGAAAAAAACTAACAAAGAAATATTGAATGACAAAAAGAAAGAGGAGAAGAAAAAAAAGAGCAAAATCGAACAGAAAGAAAGAAAGAAAGAAAGAAAGAAAGTGGAGAGAGGTGCAGAAAAAAAAAAACGAATGGAAAGATTGAACGAATAAAAAAAAAGAATGAAAGAAAAAAGAATATAAAGAAAGAGAACAAAGAAATTTGGAGAGGAAGTGACAGAAAAAGCTAGAGAGAGGGAGAGAGAGAGAGAGAGAGAGAGACTGAACATGAGAAAACGAAAGACAATAAAAGAAAAGCTGAAAAACGTATCCCAGAGAGAAGTAACGAAAAACAAAACGAAACAATGAAGAGGAAGAAAGCAACTTGAAATATTTCTCTCTTTCTTTTCACTTTTCCCTCTTTTTTTTATCTCTTCCCAATTCTTTCTTTCTTTTGCTTTATTGCATTTCTTTTCTTTTTACAAAATCAGTTTGTTTATCAACTGAAAAGACGGAGAAAACGAATGAAAAAAAATGAATGAGAGACACTAGTATGAGGGTGCAAAGAAAGAAAGAAGGAAAGAAAGAAAGAAAGGGTGTTAACAAGAAAGGTAGAAAGAAAGCTCCAAAAGTAGTGTGGTAAGGAGAAATAAATAAAGAACTAAATAAAGAAAGAAGAGAGGTATGGAGAAAGAAAGAAAGAAAGAAAGAAAGAAAGAAAGAAAGAAAGAAAAAAGTAGTGTAGTAAGGAGAATTAAAGCAAGAAAGAAAGACACAAAGTAAGAAAACGCTAAATGTAGTATGGTGATTATAAATAAATAAATAAATAAATAAATAAAGAAAGAAAGAAAGAAAGAAAGAAAGAAAGAAAGAAATTGTCGCGGTAATGCCGGAGGATACCAATCAAATTTTGTATTCAGATGGTATTGTCTTCGATCGAATCTTTCTTAATTAGTGGGTCGAGCCAGTTGTCATTTCTGCTCTGCTTATTTCTTTGCGTTCACCACCCGCGACCAATTTCCCCGTTACCACCACAGACTTAGCCGCCCCCAACTAAGTCCAATTCCCTTCGGCTTCTCGCTGTCTCTCTCTATCTCGACCTTCGTCCGCCCATCTGCACATTACCAAGTCACCTCATTCATTCACCTCATCGTTGACTTTCCATCGTAACCTCGAGGGAATCTGTTTTTTTTCTCCACCTTTTGGGAGGAGATCTTTTGTCGCTTCTCTTCAACGAGCATTTCAGCTTGTTTATGCATTGATGTCTTTTACATGTTCTTCTTATCAGCCAAATGCGTTTTAGGTCAACCGCAATGAAGACAACGAGATCAAATTAAGCAGAAACAATCATTTATTTTTGTTAATTGACCAAATGGTTCGATATACCTTAAAGAAAAATCAAATGGACATTACTAGACCAACATAACCCATTCTCGCACAATCTATCTATCTATCTATCTATCTATCTATCTATCTATGTTTTCAGCCTCTCTCTTTCTTTCTCTCTCTCTCTTTCTATCTATCTATCTATCTATCTATCTATCTATCTATGTTTTCAATCTATCTATGTTGGTCTGTACATATCTATCTATCTATCTATCTATCTATCTATCTATGTTTTCAGTCTCTCTCTCTCTATCTATCTCGGCCTGTATATATCTATTTAGGTCTGTACATATTCTTTCTATCTATCTATCTATCTATCTATCTATCTATCTATCTATCTATCTATCTCACTCTGTTCATATCTATCTATCTATCTATCTATCTATCTCAGCCTGTTTACATCTATCTATCTATCTATCTATCTATCTATCTATCTATCTCAATCTCTTCACATCTATCCGTCTCAGCCTGTTTACATCTATCTATCTATCTATCTTTCTACTTACGTTTTCAGTTTATCTATTACTTTCTTTAAATGTATACATTATAGTAAAGACTCAGTTATGTGCCATGCGTGATACACGCTTAGGCCATCATGAACTTTAGGTAGGTCGCCATTTCTTTCTGCGGTAGACCAGATGCCATCCAAGGCTATAGAACCCGGTCTGTCCGGGTATTTACCCATAGCTGGGGAAGAAGAAGAAGATTCATACCATTCCCATTCACGTAAGTGAATGCAATGGATTCGACTGGAATTCGAACTCGGCTCTCCGATTCCTCAGTCCACGCTCCTCAAAGGCCCTTCCCGATCACAGGCTTTGCTGCCGGATGTAGTTTAATCGTCATACCCAGGACGGCATATTGGAAAAGAACGTTTGAAAAATTTCCTGCAGTATGATGCCAATTCTTTTTGCGGTAGCTGCCAACCAATGCTATAGAACCCAGTCTGTCCTGCTATTCAACCCATAGTTGGATTCATACTTTTATCAGGGGTATTGGCGAGTAAGAACTGGAATTCGAACTCGTTTCTCTGAGTTCTCAATCCCAGCCGATATCCATTGCACCAGAATGCACAACGAACATAAGCGTATGCAAAGCCGGTGTGTGACGGACTGAGAATCAACCACACACGCATATATATATATATATATATATATATATATATATATATATATATATAAATATATACCTTTTTTAAAATCAACCCCCTTTTTTTTATAAGGTATATATATATATATATATAATAGTTGCAACACCATCACTTGACAAGACACCAAAAGTGTTGAAACAAAATGGCTATTTTTGTAGTGATATTATGACATATTTATGTTATAATTTTTAAATAAATATTATTCGCATTACTTTGTATTGAGCGCATTTTTTTCAAAGTATTGTTTTTGGTTACTGGAATTTTATTCCATTTATACCAACCTTGTATTCGTTTATAGCCCTCCGCGGAGGAAGTGTGACTTTGTAAACAGTGACTATTACTGCTAATAATGCAAGACTCTTCAGTAAAAGGGAATCAAGTTCTCTCAGTCACTGTGTGTTTATCTAAAAATAAATACGCTTAAATTCACCCTCATCCTTGCCGTGCGCCAACGGGGTAGAATCTCCAGCTAACGCCAATTCAGCCGGGTTTAGATCCTAGCTAGATGCAACCAGACGTCTAATCACACTGATGAGCTGTGATACAGCGAAACAGTCTGTCTGTGGACGACAATATATATATATATAAATATAAAAATCGTTTATTTCATTACGTGCAAATCTGGTTTCCAGGGTAGGTTCAGATGATATTAAGCCAAGCGCCTGTGGGGGGGGGGCATTATCCTCAGGCAGTACCTCTCCTTCGGGAGGTGTCTGAGTTCATTGTCTGGCGCCTGAGGCGTACCCAAAAGGAAAAGTGTCGAGAGGCCCGGGGCTGAGGCAATTTTTCCATCTCTCTCCCTCCCTCTACATCAGTCCCGTTAAACCGATTTTATACCACAACGTTGTGTCACATTCGGTGGTGATGTGGGCGCTCTGATAAATACTTCCATTGCACCTCAACACACATCCAACATCAGCGTATACAAAGTCACATGCAGACGGGGCATGACGGCCTAAGAATCAACCCATTTTTTTTTAAGACGGACATATTTTTTCAATTCATTTATTTCATTACATCCAATCGAATAGAAAGGCTTTGAATTATTAGAGAGAGAAAAGGGGGTGATGTAGAGGAAAGAAGAGAGATGGAATGAGAGGGAGGGAGAGAGGGAGAAAGAGGTGAGAGAGAGGGGAGAGAGTTGAGGGAGAGAAAGGGAAAACGGGAAAGAGAGAGGGAGAAAGAAGAAAAAAATTCAACTCGTAAATAAAGAAGTTAATGGAGAAACTTACTTTCTTAGAAACACAATAAGTCGTTTTCTATCAAGACGACAAAAAGAAACTACATTCAAATCAAATATCACATTCACTTAATTGGCTTTTGGAGCTGCGAGGAAGCCGATGGCAAAACGTATGCATTATATACAGAGAGTGAGTTGTGTGAGAATAGGGCGAGTATAATTTTAGGGTGACAGGCGCAGTTACACTGAGAGGCCCTCACAAGTATTCACCTGTGTGTGTGTGTGTGTGTGCGCGCGCTCGCGCACATATAGTGATGTTCTGGGAGAAAAGGTGAAAGAGTAATAAAGGCAAATACACGTCCTCGTAGACCAAATACGGATGATTAAGACACGCTCTCGGTGAGATATTTCCATTGGTAAATTCTATCGGTTTATCTATCTGTTTATATAAAAAATTAAATGCCCTTTGGGAGATTGTATCTCTGGCAAAGAAGTAAATATATTTGTTGGTTTCACGATAGCGATATTATCAAGAAGGCTTACATTACAAATGTCGTATTCAGGTTCTATTGTACAATACTTAAAAGAGCGTTCTTGTCCACATTCACGTTTTACAGAAATATTAATTGAAATACAAGTATACTCCACCAGGAAAATAAATAAAAAAAAATTCTTGAAGCGCTCTATATAAAAAATGCAACCAACACTAAATAAGATTAATTATTTTAAAATTCCTATAAAAGCAATATTTTGGAATACTCAAATTATATATTTTTTTAATTGCAGGTTGAGTATTGTAAAATATTAATAATAAAAAATATAAATTAACTTATCCACCATAAATAACGTTAATTTTTAAATTGACTATGACGGAGTGCATTTCATGCCCATTCCCCCCCCCCTAAAAAAAAATATGACCAACAATTAATTACATTAATTTTGGTCGTAGCAATTCATCTTTGAAGATGATCTTGGATGAATTACGTGGGAAAATAAAAGAAATTACCAAAACTACGCCGTCTTTCTTAATCAGTTTAATAACAACACTAAGAAATTGATAGATAAATTTGAGAGGATTTTTTTTTAATTATTTATTCGAAAATTCTTTTTGAGGTAGGCCTGCCATTTTTAATTTTTGTATGAATTTTTCATTTGAAATTTTATTTTCTCTTTCTTTGTAAGTGACGTTCACGGTTACATTAGAGTGTTTAAATTTTAAATTTCATATTTGAATCATTCATGCTTTGGGTTACAAGTAATCTCAATATTCAATAGGCATGGTATTTTTTTGCCTTTTTAATTTATTTTTTTATCTTATATTTTTCCCTAACTGGGCAGTCACTCGTTGTGGTAACGATGGTGCGTGTCTATTTTCCCATCGGTTAATATTCTAAAAAGGTCAGATAAACATCGCATGCTGAAAAAGTCCTTTGGGCCAAAAATCGTCTATCCAAATAAGTTATTCTCTAGGTCCGTCCTGAGAAATATCTTAACTAATAATCATTTTATTCCCTTCTCCCATCCTACTAACTCCCATCCACAGAGCATTTCCTCGCTAACAGATGGCGAAGGAGGTAGGTCTAGATATTTTTTTTTTTTACTTCCCGACGCACAGGTATGTATACATGTCTGCTTGGAGCTATATATATATATATATATATATATATATATATATATATAGGTAAGTATTCCACTGTAGGAGTGCCGGTGACTAAAGCGGCTACCCTACTCTATATTCTTCCGAGTGACGAGGGTTGTTAAGACGCCAGTAGTACGAAAAATAAGACCTAATAAAGGGCTGAAGAACTCTTGTTGAGTCAACGGCCAGCTAACTAGAGGCTGTATCTCCATAAACCACCGAGGAGAAAGCAACGGGAAACTACTCAACTAGTAATCCCAATATGTATAATGGCAATTAACAAACAAATTATGAAACTTAGCGGCGTGAAGGGAGTTAAGAATATGTGAATTAACTGCTCACCCGGTAAGGGCCGGCATATACAACGGGTGTCATCTGACCGTCATCTAGCGACTATTAGCATAAACGGTATAAAGGGGCTAAAATTCTTATCCCTCGCTCAGAAAGGAATGATATGAGCGACAGGTGTCAGCGGACAGTCATCCAGCGACTGTTAGCATCAAACAAAAAAATAACTCACCGGACATGGAACGTTAGAAAGTTAAACAATTGTAGCCAGTTGGAAAATGAATAGATTAAATTTCAATATTTTAGGTGTATGTGAAACCAGGTGGATAAACAATGGAGATTTTGTCAGTGACAACCACGGGATTATATATGCAAGCAGAGAGAAAAATGAAAAAGGAGTTGGATTGATACTAGATCAAGACATCAAGTAATGCGTCGTGGGTTACTGTCACTTATCTGAAAGAATTATTGTTGTTAAACTGAAAGGAAAACCTTTCAACATATGTATTATAATAGTGTATGCACCGACAGCACAAAGTACGGAAGAAGAAATCGAATCTTCCTACCTCATGCTAGACAAAGCCAAGGCTCAGTGCAAATCACAAGACGTTATAATTATCATGGGAGAACTAAATGCCAAATTAGACAAGGAGAGAGCAGGGGGGTAGTTGGAAAATTCGGGTAGGAACCCGCAAAGAACGCGGAGAAAAATGGGTCCAATGGTGCACGGCCAAATGACCAGTTAATAGTGAACACCTGGTTCCAAGAACATCTGAGACAATTATGGACATGGAGAAGACCAGAAGGAGAAACTAAAAAACAAATTGGCTGCATCACCATCAACAAAAGATTCAGGAATGTAGTTGTTCAGTGCAAAACCCATCGAAGTGCGAATTGCGGAAGCAACTACCTGCCTAAAGTAAGAACATATCAGCCAAATTGCAATGCAATAGATTCCTGAACGTCACGAACCTGAAGGAAAATATATGGACAGTGTGAAAAGGATATACGAGGAATAAAATGGAAATAGAAACTCGAAATTGAACAGACTAAGAGAAGCTTTAGTGTCAACAGTAAACGACATCATCCCAAAAGAGAATGGATGAAGAAGAAAAAGTAAGGAATGGATTACAGTTGAGATTCTTGACATGATGCAAAGGAGACAGAAAACAATGCCAAGACAAGGAATGGAATGCAGAAAACTACATAATGAAATAAGGAATAAATTCAGGCAGGCTAAAGAAGAATGACTCAACAAAATATGTGCAGAAATAAAGAGAATGAGCATCACAGATAAAGGAGACATGCATTAAAAAAATAAGGGAAGACATGCTTATCAATAGTCTGCTTAAAATCCAAAGATGGAATGCTCATATTAGAGAAAGAAAAACTGTTCAGTGCTGGAACAAATATATTTGCAATCCTCTTCCATGACAAAAGAAAACAACTGGAAATACACAGAAATACCGACTGGCTGGAAATACTAAAAACCGAAATGGATGCTGCCACATATGAGCCTAATGAGCCACATAAGAAAACTTATCATCCAAATTCTGATGAATAGAGTGCACAGCAGAATCAAACCAGAGATAGGACAAGAACAGTGTGGGTTAATTAAAGACACCGGAACAAGGAATGCAATATTTATGCTCTGAATGTTATCAGAAAGAGCAATACAAATGGAGAAGAATGTGTACTTGTGTTTTATAGACTATACAAAGGTACCCGACAAAGTAAGTCACAAAGATCTGTTAGAGCTGCTCAGCAACCTTGACACATTTGGGAAAGATATTAGAATAATCAATAATCTCTACTGGCAGCAAACCATCTGCATATGGATAAAAAATGAGTTCAATAGATATACAAAAATAGAAAGGAGTGTAAAGCAAGGATGTGTCTTCTCATTGGATTTATTCAACCTATACGGCAAGGCAATTCTGAGAGGAACTGGAAATCCTACCAGGATTCATCATTGGCAGCTACAATCTTAATAAGATAAGATATGCAGATGACATAGTGCTGATAGCAGACATGGAAATGAAACTACAAAACCTCCTACAGAAGATAGTAAAGAAGAGAATGAAACAGGGACTAAGCATAAACTACAAGAAAACAGAATGCATGGTCATCAGTAAAAGGATGAACCCAAAATGCAATTTACAGGTTGGGAACACTAAAATCAAGCAGTTGTGGAAATTTAAATATCTGGGAAGTGTTCTAACAGAGAATGGAAAGTGCAACACTGAGATTTGAGGATGTATTGGGATGGCCAAAGACCCATTCCAAAAGCTAAGCAGAGTATTATGAAACAGGAAAGTTTCATTGGAAACAAAGAAAATAGTACTGAACTGTTAGGTGATATCTGTCCTGCAGTATGCTGGACAATCTCCTCAAAGATGAAGAAGAGACTCAAAGTAACAGAAATGTGGTTCTACAGGAGGATGCTGAGAATACCATAAGCCGAACATGTGAGCAACAACAAGGTTTTGGAGAGAATGGAAACAAAGAGGAAACTTATACTTAACAACAGGAAGAGGCAGTATGAAATTTTTGATACACGTAATGATGAAGGAAGGTTTGGAAAATCTGATACTCACAGGATGGATAGAGGGGAAGAGGGATAAGGGAAAGTAACGCATAATTTTTATGGGCTTGAGCAAGTGAATGGTGGAACAGGGTCTGGAAGAAATAACAAAAAGACAAAACTTATTAGGAGCTACAAAGCACTGGAGGAGATGGAGGGTCATATTTGCCTACGTCCTGACGGGACACGGCACATAAAAAAAAAAAATAAAATAAATAGAAATAGTTTGTGTGTGCGTGTGTGTGTGTGCGTGTGTGTGTGTAAGAGAGAAAGAGTATGTATTAACCTGTTTATTATCTATCTATCTATCTATCTATCTATCTATCTATCAAATAACTAACTAAATCTCTTAATGCCGGAGAGCGCATATTTTTCTTTAATAGTTTGCTTTGTTTTGCAGCATATCAACACCTCAATGGGTTATTTAATGCCGGTAAGATGTTTAATGCTGGTAATATATATTTTTTAAATATTGCTGGCAATATTGTTCTTTTTCGAAAATGTACAGCTGGTAATACTGTTTTACTGGTAATATTTTTTCCAAAAATGTATTACTGGTATTAAAACCTATTTTTACACTTTCATACTGTATTGACCACAGTTTAGGCATTAACTATTTGCCCATAGCTAGGACCCTAACAGGTGTTGCCACCCCGGGGTCAGGGTAGACCTGGGAACACCAGCTATTAAGAGGTGGTTCCACGCTCTTCAAAACTACCTGCTCAGAGGTCTTGCTTCCGGATGTACTTTATCGTCATACCCAGAAAGCCTCATTAGGATGGGCGAGTCTTGCCCCCTCTGCAAATGCGTAGTTGGCATATTCTGAAGCCCCAACCAACCAATTTTCCTTTAATATGATTTCTCAAATATTCAGGCCGGTAGACGAAAGTGAATAAATATACTGTTTAATTAATAAATGGAACGTCTACTCAAAGAAGGGTATCCACTAAAAATAACGTTTAAAGTGATAAAATCTGTTGGACTGGTAAATAATGAAGCCATTACTTCTTTAGAGAATTACTTTCTTTACGTTTGGATACGAAATTGGACATATATAAAAATTATATTAATATTTAGTACGCGAAGGATTCCTCTTAAAAGACATGTCACAGTCTTTACTTGATTGGTAGCCGAGTTGGTTAAGGCACGTCGGATCTAACGACGGTTTTTCTCTGCCCAGAACGACACAGGTTCGAATCCTGCTGAAGAGCGCACATTTTTCTTTAATGAGATTTCTCGAATATTCAGGTCGGTAGACGAAAAGAAATAAATAAATGGAGCGTCTATCCACTAAAAAAGGCGAAAGTGATATGTATGTATTTTTTTTAGACTGTTCATTATCTACTTATTTCAATCTGATTTGTCTCTATTACGGCCTTTTCAATATCTATCTATCTATCGCTGACATTAAGCGAATGGACGCCAAAACGAGAAAGCTTTTCATTGCCATCGCATGCATCATCCTAAGGCAGATGTTGATCGTCTGTATTTGTCCAGATCCGAAAGAGGCAGAGGATTAGTTCAACTAGAACTGTTATACAACAATCGACCTTCAAAGAAACTTCAGAAGACTGGATGATGATCTGTGTCAAAGAACATGAAAGAAGTAAGAAACTGCATTCAGTAATAAAGGAAGCCAGAAGAGATTTTAAGAGGGTGAAGAAATGCGTCTCCTGCGGCTGCAAAAACCTTAAAAAAGAAAGCAAAAGCAAATCCAATTGACCAGATACAGAAACGATGGAACGGTAAAACTCTTCATGGTCAATATTCTGCCCGTATCAAAACAAGCTGATGTAGATAAACCCTCTACCAGTCAGTGGTTACGTAGTGCAGGGTTAAAAGCTGAAACTTAAGATTTTATTCTTGTCACACAGAACCAACGCTTTGCTAACTAGAAATTAAAAAGCGCATACAATGAAAAATTAGAGATACTGTGATAAATATCCAGAAACAATTGTATCAGTTTGCACAGTGTTAGCACCGACTGAATATAAATATCTGCATTGGAAAATATGAAACTTTTACGGGAAGTAAACTGCAATAAACTGATATGAATATCACCCAGATCCACTTAAGAAATAGAAAACAGTTTTATGAGACTTTAAAATACATGCAGACAAAACATTCAAAGCTAATCGCCCAGACATCGTGATCAAAGATTACAAAACTAGAATGTGCTTTTCTTATTGATATGGCAGTCTCTGCAGACAGCAATGTGCTTTTTAAGCTCAAATTACAAGGATCTTGAATTAGAAATCTCAAAAAATGTTGCATCAACAATTCCAGTTGTAGTTGGAGCCCTCGGATTGATTGGAAAATGTTCCGATAGACTCACTGAAAAGATTCCTGGTAACCCATACCTTAAAGAAATACAAATATTGTACTCACAAGTACAGCTCACACATTACGAAGTGATTTATCGATGTAAATTGCGTGTGGGATTTTATCTTTAACGTCATAATTTGGCCTCCCACGGACATTTTTTTAATCAAAATACAATGATTAACACGCGGTCGAAAAAAGAGACAAGACTAGGAGAAATTATGGAGGACCATACTCATTATCGTTTAGCATGAATTGTTTGATAATGATCTTAGCGAGGAAAAATTCTATTCCGTTCCTCATGAACCCCAGTCCAGTGTATTAACCACTGAGTCGCTTACAGGCACACAGTGCACACGCGCCTTCATTAAATACAAGTAAAATTTTGGTTTATTTTTTTTAATATTTAAAAAAAAAAAAAATTCATAAAAGTCTCCACCTAAAATCACGACACAAAGAACTGCGTGCCGTAAATGGAGAAAAGGGTCAAAATTTCACGTCCCCGACCTCCGTACAATCGAATTAACTTTTATGTCACGTGACTGACTTTGCTCCATCCTTTCCAGTATAACAATCATGGTGGTAAAGGGAAGTCAGAAGGACAATGAATAGCACTTCGTCATCCTTTCCCTTCTCTGTGTCTCTCTTGAAAACCAGACCCTCATCCCTTGTAACCAGACATTCAATCATTGTCTCTGGGTGTATTCAATTGTATACCACACTGCAGCAGCCCCGGAGTAACGTTTATCTCTTTCTCTTTCTCTTTTCTTTCTTCCTCTTTCTTTCTTTCTTTCTTTCTTTCTTTCTTTCTTTCTTTTTTTCTTTCTTTCTTTCTTTGTTCGTCTACACTCAATTTTGGTGACCTTTGCTTAGCCCTTCTCAGGGGCTGAGGGTTCCCGCAACGCCCACCTCAAGCATGTTCCCTGTATATTAATCAACCTTAGACGTCCTCTTCAGATTAACTCATAAAACAATATGGCGTCCGGCAGCTGTCCACAATAGTTTCGTGGTTACAGCTGGATTCTCACGTGGGGGTCAGAACACATTATTTGCCTTCTTTCTCCTTCACTGTATACAAATATCTAGATGAAGAGGCAGCTGTAGTGGAAGCTGATAGTTATACTAGCGTTCCGCTTTCGAACCCAGCCAGAATCTCGCAAAGTGACTTTCAAAGCTGAATGGAGTTCCAACAATCTTTCTAACCTAATTTTATAGACATGTCAAGTAATGTTGTATGAAGGTGGTATAATATATAGATGGTACTATGCGTGTCGAAATTGGACGAAATGAATAGAGTTTAATAACAGATATACAGGGTGAAACAAAAGTCGTACACCAGAGGGATAATTTATTAAAAGTATAATTAAACATAAAATTTTATTTACTAGTTATTTATTTGTTATAGGTGTTGTTCAAAATGTCCTCCTCCTTTTTCAAAACTCATTTCAATTCTGTGCCTGCATGATTCATTAACACGTCAGAGAGTTTCATCTGTCATTTTACGGCATTCATATTTCAGTCTTTGAGTTCCTCAATATTTCTTGGGCCCGTCTGAATTCAATTTTGTAAGGCCGTGTGACCTCGGTGGCCACTCAAAAGGACCTCTTCGACCTAACCATTAAGCCCTATGGGGCGCGACTTTTAACTCACCCTATACACACACACACACACACACACACACACACACACACACACACACACACACACATATATATATATATATATAAATATATGCATGTCTCATTAAAAATGACAGACAAGTTACTACGGTTAAGTTTTTTATTTAATTTTTCTTGTGTTCGCATAAGAGGTTTCTTTTTTGGACAGACAGTGTGCAGAAACTGTCCAAAGGTTCTATAATTCCGAGCGCTTTCGGCTATACTTTTAGCCATTATCAAGGATGATTTGATTTTTTCGGTTTAATTGAGTGTGTGCGTTATGTTATGCATTTTAAACATGTATCAATTTGGTGATTTTCTTTCGTCTTTCAATGTTAATGTTATTAAGCTTATCAATAAGAAAGGAACTTACTTAAAATAAATAGACAAAACTTGTCTATATTATTTAATGAAACATGCATTAATATATATATATATATATATATATATATATATATATATATATATATATATATATATATCGCATTTTCGTGATGTGTTAAGCTTTTCCTTGATGTCTATTATATGGCTCTGTATTCTATATATTTAGCTTTCTTCGGATCTATCTTTTTAATTTTCATATTAAAAAGAACCATTTGAATTATTCTTACACTTACGGATCTGATATTATCTAGCATTCTCTCTCTCTATCTCGCTCTCCTTTTATATATATATATATATATATATATATATATATATATATATATATATATATATATATATATCCTGGGTAAGACGTTAAATTACATCCGCGTCCAGGGTAAGACGATAAACTACGTCCAGCAGAAAGGCCTCTGATCAGGAGGTTTTGAGGAGCGTGGAACCGCCTCTTAATTGCTGATGTTCCCAGATCCACCCTCACACGGATTGGTAGCCCCTGTTAGGATCCCAACAATGGGAAAATAGTTAATTATTACCAGTAATACTATTTTGAAGGAAATATATTACCAGAAACAGATTGAGGTTGATATGCCGTAAAACAAAGTAAACCAAACCAATCTAAACCAAAGGATACATATTCTATTCATAAGAATCTATCCTAAAAATGTTGTCGGCATTAAAAAACCCATCGAGGTTGATATATATATATATATATATATATATATAATAAAATATAATTTTACTGCATGCTGTATATAGGCTACAGTGATCAATATCAGGTATAGAGTGTATGTAAATATAAAAATGAACATTGAAGTCAACATCCAGAGGCGACAGTCTGTTTCTTGCTTAATCACAATCATTAATCCATGTGGATTGCGTTTAAGTTTAAAACAGACTGTCGCCTCTGGATGTTGACTTCGATGTTCACTTATATATATATATATATATATATATATATATATATATATATATATATATATATGTATATAATGCATTTTTAATCACAGATTATTTTATATTACACTAAACGTTATTTTGTAGATAAACGAGTTATGTAGACAGAATTCGCCGTGTTTAAGAAACAGGTGTATATTCAAACAGGTGTATCATGTAAAAGAATGTTTAGAAGAATATATATATATATATATATATATATATATATATATATATATTATTTGTTGAAAGTATATATATATATATATATATATATATATATATATATATATATATTTAAAAAATATATATATATATATATATATATATATATATATATATATAACTCTCTCTCTCTCTCTCTCTCTATATATATATATATATATATATATATATATATATATATATTTTTTTTTTTTCATAATAATTCATCGAAAAATGCCATATTACCGACGCCTCGGATGTTGTGCACTCTGGCCATCTTCAGATGATTGGAATTTCGAACTGAGTTCTTTATTTCGTCTCCCGAGTTAGATTGTTTTACTTTCACGCCCCATACCTCTCCCGGATGCCTCAGTACAAGTTATCTACCTTTTCACTCAACTGTACAACTAACCAGGTATTTGTCCGAAACGTCATTGATATGTCATTGAAGATGATGTCAACAGTCAGAACAATGTAAATAATTACCTCATCTGAGAAATATATATATATATATATATATATATATATATATATATATATAAATATATTGAAAAATTGACAAAGAGCAGAAGAGAAGACAACAAAGTTTGAAGAGTGAACATGTTTTCTTGACTTGCTAACCAAACTACGTAGTAGATATGACTGAACTAATACCACTTAGCTAAGTGACAAACGTCTTCATATTAATTCTATTAATTCTCTCTCTCTCTCTCTCTCTATATATATATATATATATATATATATATATGAGATATTGGTACTTCTAAGAATTCTTATAAAACCTGGTGGTATCAACACATATGGTCTTTTACTAATAATACTTATACAAATCATACTTCTCTTTCAAAATAGTTTTGGAGGTTGAAAGATGAAATTAAAACTCCTAAAATGAAATTGAAAATCTTAAAATTGGAAGGACAATAGATCTTTAAATCAGCCTTGTTTTCTGTGTTTACAGGAAAAAAATGAAGATTATCAGATGGGAATTCTTTATTAAATCAAAGATTTGAATTAGCGGTTAATTATGAACATATAACTTTGACTTTACAATCTTGCTAGACTATGAAATTTGACAATGGCTTCTTCTTATATTGTACTTAAACCTTGTTGCACCATATTAGGCTTATCTTTTTGTCAGTAAGATCAATTTTGATGTAGTATAATTTTGACATTAATTTTCTAGTAGTGTTGGTAATATTTAGTATAGATGTATTGGCGTTCAGCTGACATTTTGCATTGATTAGTTTTATTAACATCCTATATAAAAAGCCTTAAGTTAACAGTTGCATTCTGTTTTATTTTGTTTGATCAATATGTTTAAATAATTTTGTTAGATTTATTTGTTTGAACTTTCCTTTTATTTCTTAAAGAGCTGGTTTATTTACCATTTATAAAAATGTGAAATTTTAATTTTTTAACTCATAGGGTATGTAGTAAGTCGAGTATCTTGTTAAATTATGTTTCTTCTATCATAGGAAAAGACATTTGTCTAATCAATAACTTTGTAGCCAGTTTACATCCAATGTCGTCTACGATTCTAAGTGTATGTGTCATGACCTCTTACGTATGATTTGATCTTTCGATTTTCCCCATACTTTGAACTTAGCGTAGGCCATTCCGATTGGTTGATCAGAATATAAACAAAACAACCCTGCTACTATCAACTCTCTTCTTTTTCTTACTCTTTTTCTTATTCTTCCTTTTCTCAAGAAAACAGTGTGCATATTGTGTCTTTCTTTCTTACTCTTTTTCTTTTCGTCCTTATTGTTTTTAAATCTCAATAAATTGTTTACTCACCAGTCATTTACTAACGCCTGATGAAATGTGTTAATACACATCGAAACATAATTGCATTTGTGTAATATTTTTACATGTGTTTGATGTAATATCCTAAAATAAAATATATATATATATATATATATATATATATATATATATATATATATATATATATATATGTATGTATGTATGTATGTATGTATGTATTTGTTGTGGATTCCGGGATGAAATCTGGTCTCAAATGAATGACAAACGCAGGAATGAAATATAGCAAATAAATGTATTGTCGAAATAATACAATTAGTAATACGGTTAGTAGATCCAGAAATGCGGTTAGTAGCAGTAATAATATATATATACAGTCTGGGAAATTCAGTATGACTTCCTTCTGAGTCTATGTGCTCGCAACTGTGACTCCTACAAAGCGGTTACCTCACACTCTCACTCTTTCACTTCCGGGTATTCACCGGCAGCAATACAAGTACACACTGGGCGAGTCCACTTGTATAAAAAGGGGTGGACCCCGTAACATATATATACATATATATATATATATATATATGCACTTTATTTTAGAATATATATATATATATATATATATATATATATATATATATATATATATGTGTGTGTGTGTGTGTGTGAAATGTGTGTGTATATAAATATAAATAAATATATATATATATATAATTATTTATATATTATATGCGTGGTACTTATTAGAAAGCGCTCAATATCAGAGATAGAGCTAACATATTCAAGATATTCCTAAACTTAATAGAATAACACTCCACTGAAACAAACCGGTTATCAAAAATATTTAACAAAAATAACGTAAAGATCAGTTACAGCTGCACAAAAAAACATAACAGAAATAATCAAAAGCCACAACAAAAAAATGACA